TCTGCAAATTACATAGAGCGAAATGTTCAGCCACAAACGGAGATGGAAAGTTGGTCAAGCCTCCCTTAACGATGCCAAAATGTCTTAGACCACTCGACGCCCACAATGTGATCACTTCCATGCTCTGATGTCCTTCGGTATGACGAGAATTGTTCAAGCCCTGGACGTGCCCAAACTCAATGCTCAGGCAATGGCACTATGGCCATGTGAAAAGGTCGTCAGTGAATAGTGGATGAGACGAGATGAGAGAACATCCGGTGCGCTTTTCGTCCCTCATGTCCATGGATCCTCAGACCTCGGATCCAAGCCCGCAGATTTTGTAGGAACTCCGTCACGGTCGCTCTCGTGAGGACAGAGAACAATGAGCCTGAAAATGATTAGACAAGGCTTTGCAGGCACGAGTGACAGCATATGTACTTACTCAATGCATGTGTCTGCTGCGCTGAGATGGCGATCTCTGTGGAGGTATCATTTCCTCCGCTCTTGCTGTATGTGACCTGAATGGTCTCTAAGATGTGTACTTCGCCTTCTGGTAGCGTCAGGACCCAAGATCGGACTGAAGGTGCAGGACTGTCGGATGTTGTGGTTGTCATCGTGCAGAAATTGCAGCGAAGCTGGTTGTTGGGAGCCAAGGCAAGGTTTTGGTGTCACACACCGAGGAAGCCGACGCAAGAAGATTGGTTTTGAATCTTTACGCAAGGCAAGCCCTATCTGCCTTCCCTGAGGGGACTGCAAATTTGTCCCCATGACTCAACCCTAGCTCGCCATTTCCTGGACCAACTCTGAACCTCGGCAATCTGGTCGATCTTTCCAGTCTGTTAAAAGGGGGAAGGGGAGCAGAAGAAACCAACTCAAGGGACTGTCCTGATGTAGCATGCGGCAGTGCTGGTCGTCTTGAAACCCAGATCCCCGAAGTACCTCTCCATTTGTCATACGCCTGCTGCTGCTCAGCCCAGTACATGCTCGTCTGTGTCCCTACTCAGCACTTCAGCGCGTTCCGCGGCCAGTGTTCAAGTCGTAAAGAATACGCAGCTGAACATAACGGCACCGCGTCCAATCAATGATCGCCAGGAGTTTCGAGCCGCACAAGCTCTTACATATTTCACTCGCTGTTGTGGCTCAGTGGTGGCAACATTGGTTTCGCAGCGTGACAGAATCCTTACAGCATGTGTGATGTGCAAAAGGCTTTTTGATTGTCTGGAATGGTTGGGCCGCGTCATAGCGATCCCATATTGAGCAGGCCTGAAAGATGCAGATGTCGAAAACGCCAGAGTTGAACCTCGAATTAGTGCGCGGGTGTGCGCGGATGTGCGTGCTGCATGGTTGGATCAGCTGTTCGCTATTGCCTGCAGCTACCCTTTCTGGTATGTGTCTTTCACAATGTACGCTGCCGGCACAGACGTAGACCGAGAGCTGCCAGCGACTCATAGATTGATATCTCCTGCATACGAATGTGTTGGGTTGGCGCAGTCGGGGGGATGGTGCATTAAAACCCACCTTTTCCCCTTTTCTGCCCTTTCCCCCCAATTTGGGACATGCCTAGTGAACCCAGCAGGCGAGTTGGCACCGATTTCCCGCATGGCAGCGGCTGTCGGATACGACCGTCAACAGTAATACGACTCTGATATCCGGGTCTAGTAATTTGTCTCTAGGTTTGTTCGTGAAGCGGGCACGGCCAACACTGATAGCTTGGTACCAGGGCTGCTGGTGTTTTTTGTGTCCACGCCGTCTCCTGACTAATCGACAAAATATCTCATGTACACCAAGCCAGTGCATGGCAGTCTTGGAGTCGAATGTGTGAAGATGACGAGACTCGCATAAGAACTAAGCTTGTGCTATAGCAAATAAAAGAGGATGTTTACGACGCAGCGACAAGACGAAACCACGTGAGATCCAGTGCGTCACGCCGCCGACTATCTTTTCAAACAAGATGCTGCGGTTACGAGGAAGTCTAGTGATGAGAACTTGCGGGCAAGAGGATATGTTCCGGTCCATTGAGTTTCGAGCTTATCACAACATTCGGAAGGCAAGGGCGTCAATGTATACAGGTTCTCTGAGAAACTTGCTTGTGCAAGAGTGAATCCTTGTGCCACGGATTTTGACGCCCAGTTTCCCTCATCCTTTGGACGATTTCACCTTGAATCGTATTTACAGCAGCAAAAATTGTTGGTTTCCCAGCCCTTCGTGTGGTATGCGGCGAAGGCCTGCCTGGGGAGTCCTCGCCCCAATCACTGGAGTTGGAAGAACTTCTCGGAACGGCGAGGTGGGTAGGCAGTGGAGGGTAACGACAGCGTGAGAACGGAGGGTGTGCGCAAGACTAACGGTGCTTTCGTCTCTGGGAGGCCTGAGTGGCTGGGAGCTGAAATCATCTCCGTGATTTACCAACTGGAGGATCCGCTCAGGTGGACTACACCAAGTCACCAAAGGCCTTCTACAGTGCATGCCCGAGGCGGCCTGCAACTTGAATAATTCAGGCATGGATGTTTCCATCTACCCTTCCATGAACACGTTCATACCGATTCCTCCCCCTCTGGATCGCCTGGTTTCAATATTGGCAAGAAAATAATATGTGTCTGTCTTTTCTCCGCTGAAGTGTGTGCCCGGCCCCTCCCTGGTGTCAGTCGTTGTTTCGGCACCTCACGCCGACATTACCCAAAACACTTTGCCTTATCTCGGAGAGTACGCAGCTGGAATGGTCCTTGCGCTATACCTATCTCGGAGAGTACGCGTTCTCTCCGAGATAGGTATAGCGTGGTGAATGCCGCGCAACTTGTATCGAGACGTACTTCAAGTCGGCTGCCCTTCGGCACGCAATTTGTTGGATCATGCAACGCCATGCGATTGGGCTTTGATTCAACATTCACATCACTGCCCCTCCCGCCCCCCTCCCTTCACCGGATCCCGGATCGGCGGCAATTACGGATGCCACTCAACCCTGACCTTTACTGACTGCGGTAAGGAGGGGATGGGAGCCGGCCACCGAGAAGAGCGTCAACTTTACCTCCACCCACGATACTCGGATTCCTCCATATTAAATGAACAACCTTCCATTGTGAATATTCCTGATCACTTTTATACTCAGAGTGTCTGTCAGCGAGTTAGTACTCTCCATTGTACTCTGGAGCTGCACCCTTTGAATTGTCAACGTTCGTCGAAATCTTGTAATGGGTTGAAACCTCGTCAACAGAACTCAGAGCCAGGGCCCTTCGTGCGACCCACTGATCTACAGTTGAAAGAATACACAAAGGGGAGGTGTGACGTTCCGAGACTTGAGCTTAACAGTGGCATATGATAAATCAGGATCATTGCTGTACATGCCCAAACAAGGCTCAAGGAACTATGAGAGTGAGCTGAATTTGTTCCAATCCCCCAAGTGATCCTAAAGTGCTAACGGATGTAAACTGTTCACAAGGAAACCAGAAATTGCAAAACGTCAGCCAGTGGATATTCCTAGTCTGTCACAGCCACTTGTGACTAGAGAACAAAGATGAGGTCCGAGTTGCGTGTCGACGAGAGGGAACGGGGCTATCAGCAAGGTCATGAGCACAGTAGTCACAGCGAGCACCGTTGCAAGGCCTTGGAACTGCGCAGGACAGATGCATATGAGATCCGTCATGGTAGGTGAAGGCGAAGGCGTGCCCGCCAGAGCCGGGGAAAGGATAGCCAACCCTTTAAGCCTGGGGTGGCTTGCCTCCTCAATATTGATGGACTGTACCCGTTCCTGATTAATTTCCCGGAGACAGCTGGGAGCCTCCGAGACGATGCCAGCCTGGCTGCCAGGCGAACGACCTCCCCAACCTTCACTCATTCGTTTTCGGTCATATTTTCCGCGCTGAGGTTCGAGCACTGCATGGCAAATGCCTGAATCGGACATCAAGGTATTCAATGCAGCTGTCAGTATCAAGCAAAGGTGGCGGCCCCCTGGTCTGCTGACCCGTTCTGGTTGACATCCGGCTTCTGGGGCGGCTCAGTTGTCACTGGTCCATTTTCTGACCTGCAGCCAACACTGGGGCCTGTATATTGCTGAAATGTGCACAGACCGCTTGTGAAAGGCGGGTCACAAGTGGTCTGTGCTCCCTCTGGCAGGGGCATGTGCCCTCCGCGAGAGTGACACACCCCTGACCTGGTCGTGCTTTGAAATCGTGCCATTTCGTCCTCAGCCTCTCGGCCCACACCCTAACCT